AATTATCATTTGGCTTTTGTGGTGGACTGTCTGCTGTCGCCTTCATTCGTGCACGGAAAATCAAATGCAAAACGAAAAATTCGAAATGAAAAATAGGTCAAGAAAAGAACACATTTCATAACGGAAATGTTGCTTGTGGTGAACAGTTTCAACATGAATATATGTACGTGTGTGTGTTGTTGTTGAACTGAAATATTTCCTAAGGACATTCACATCTTACTTGTTTGACTACTCAATTGAAGGTAAGCAGTCTAGACCCTTAATACCCTATACTAGAACACATAGTCAAGCACTTCATTCAATCATTAAGCCTTTACCTCTGAAAACGATTAAAAGAAACTATTTCTTATTCTCATTCATGTAATTTCGGGTTTCTTTGTTTTGATTTCTAAAATGTATTTCCATCCCACTTTGTTTTTGATGATATTGCTTGAATCAATGAACTAATATAATATAAATAATATACTACTTTTAATCTAAATCTATATCTATAAATAATCTAATCCTTGGATATGCAGTTGGGAATCTGAGGGCTACTAATTTCTGATAATAAACGGATTCTTTGAATGCAATGCAAAGGCAATTTAATTGACATTTTAAAATATAAACAAACTCTGTTGATGTACAATATTTAGAATGAAAATCCACTACTTGAAAAATGTGTATTATGTATATTATTTGACAAAAACTCAATTCTCTCAATACTGTGGAGATTTTAAAATATTAACAAAAAGTGTTGATAATATTTAGAATTAAAATCTATTACTGGAAAAATGTTTATTATGTTATTTGACTCAATTTTGTCAATCCTGTGGAGCTTAGAAATGTGGTTCCTCAGCTGTTCAATTTATTTTGAAATTCCACAAATGATCATTTGAGTAAAATCGAATGCATTTAAAACCGAGGCCCACTGTTTTCGACTAGCCAGTGGCAGTCTATTTCCCTCAGTTGACTGTCATTGTGATAATGAGCGGGAAGGGTTGCCCGCCGCTGGTTATGAAGCGAGCGTGTGGAATATGAAAGCGTGGGATGGTGGTTGAGCATGGCGGCGACGTGATAAGAAATTGAATTTAGCTCAAAGCGTCTGCGGTGCCAATGGAGCTTATCAGCAGGCTGCAACTCTTGATGGCGGTCTGACAGTTGGCCTCATGCCAGAGACTTGAACCATGGCCAGTCGCTTTGAAAATTGAATTTCCTTGGATAATTAGCCAGCTTACATATACATATATTGTATTCATATAAGGAGAGATGCAATTTAAGCAGCGACTTGTATGGCGAAATCAGTGGCTTGTTGGCTCAATGAGAACCCTTTTTGGGGACAATGTCATACGCCATTAAGCAGGAGGCCTAACTGACGCTGAACTGCATAACCTGGACATAAAAATATATTTTATGTGCCCATGAGCGACACTTCAAGCCGGTCCAGATTTGTAATCAAAGTAACAGCCAAAAGGTCAAATAACACTAGGGCTCAGCAAAAGGGACTACACTCAGCTACTAAGCACGAGGCATTACCGAGCTAATCGCAGTGATAAACAAGGCGGATGACAACAAGGCAGTCAGCCAGCCACCCACCCATACGCACGCACAAACCGTAAAGTACATGGCCCGGAATTGTGCTAATAAAAAGACAGAGGGTAAAGGAAACCAGGAAAGGAAGAAAAAAATACAAGAAAAAAACAACGAAGAGCAACAACACTGGACACTGGACTGGGGTAGACCACAGAAGCAGGCATATCCTGTTTGAGTTACACGTGCCTGGCCTGGCCTGGTCTGGGACTGGGATTGGGATTGGGGCCGTGTTTGGGTTTGCGCCTGGTCGAGCCGAGTCGAGCCGCTGCGGGCGTGCGACTTATAACCGCTACAAAAAAAGTTAACATGCAACGTAAGGCGACCCCAAGGGGGTGGGGAAGGAGGAGGGTGTACTTGGAGCACCCTCGGCTTTCCAATGTGTGCAGATAACAAATGTCAAGTGCGCACCAGCAGGCTAGACGACTTGCACAAAAGAAATGGAGGCGAAGGCATTTAAACTGTATATTGACATTGACTCGACCGAGCTGATGGCCTCTCGGGGGTGGCAGAGGGGTCGGCTGAGAGGGGGAGGGGGGTCTTTTGGGTGGCCCACACAGGAAGTGATTATCCCAACAAATTGAACAGATGAGGGGACTTGTTGTTAGTCCGCAAAAGAAGTTAGTAAATTCACAAGTCTGGCGTATGGGGAAGAGCAGCCCTTTCGCAATACTACGAGTATACACACAATCAGGATTTATACGAGGCACATCCGCCATGGGCACGAATGAACACGCACGCAATAAGTTGGTGGAGGCATCCAGGGTTCGGGCAAAAAATCGAAAATTCGATACTCTGGCGTGTCATGGGCAGCAGGCGTGCAGCAAATACGTGTAAGTAGCTATGGCGGCACCCACTGCTCCACAACAGACGGGGAGAACTTTTGCAGTCGACGTTGTCTGTGTGCGTGCGCTGTTGCCACACTTCGCCGTGCTCTGCGAACTCAGCAAGCAATGCTGCGTGTTCTTTTCACTGAGCGCCTGGTAGTAGGCAACCCGAAACGCGCCACCATACAGACGAGCTGGCATTCGGCTTGGCGCTGACGTTGACAGCTGTGTTGGCAACGACGTCAGCAATTGGCGACGCCATGCAGTCTGCCCGCAGCTGCTATTGGCAACAGTTAGCCAGGCGGGTAAATCAATTGTACGTGTAGAATCCCATCCTCAGTTGTCGCCACTTTCATTTCCGTTACATTTTTACATCCGAGACGGCACGACTCTCCTGTTGATATGTCCGCACAGCCACGTGCACATGGTACAGGCGCCCAGAACGGCTCCGAACGTGCCTTTCCGCAACACGCATGGCCAGCTCTGAGGTTCCGACTCAGCAAGGGGTGCACAACAGAAATAAAAACAAAGAACGGCAACGTGGGAGGCATTTGAGTTAGCTAAGTCGGAAATGCTGACCGCAGAGCAGCGCCAACTTACTGCCAATTTGTTGGGTTACGATACGATTTAAAGCGGCATCAATTTTTTCGTAGTTGATATAATTTTTACTTACAAAAAGTACAACTAATCAACATTTGCCTATTCAGTGAGAATGTGTATAATTATTATTTATTTTTTAGCTAATATAGATATTATTATTCTTTATTAGACCTATTTTTTCATTGAATAAGTATCATGTTTAATGAAAGTTCTAAATTTTATATTGCCTTGTAGTGTTATAATTACGATATTTTTCTAAAAATGCAAGCCTAATTCTGTTTTTAAAACCGTGTAAAAGAGACATTGTCATATGCAAAATAAATCCTGCTAAATGAAATAAAGTCGTGTTACCATATATTTTTTATTTTCAAACCGTGTGAAATCGAAACTGTATAAAAAATACCGTGGAAAAACAGAATTAATTAACGAAATAATATTGTTGCATATTTTCTAAAATAAAAAACAATGTGTCGTTGCTACGCCTGGTCCAAAAATAGATTCGCTGAATGAGATTTTATTTCCTTGCCTACCAACATTCCACGTCGACGTAATGGATAATGTAACTGGCATTTCTAATGGAATTTCTAAGCAGCCGCTTTTTGCTATCTAAGCTTTCATTTTTGAATATTTGTCGGGCCAGGCGCACAGACTGGCCAAGACAGAGCCCGAGCCAAGCAGTTGGCTAATACCGCTTTCTATCCGGGTCTGAATCTGTGTGTGCGCCAACTACCCTCGAAGAGCCGCAGTGGCCGTGGCCATGCTTTGGGGTTGTTTTGCTACCATACGAAGCGGCGAGCAGCAACTGAGCGCCAACGATGGGTTTGTGGCGCCAGCACCCTCGCGCCGCGGCGAGGGCGAACCACCCCTACATGGCGGGAGGGGGGGGGGGGGGGTTGTTTCAGGCTCAGATTGCAGCTTTGGTTGCCCAGTCGCCAGTTGCCTGTCGCCTGTCGCTTGGCGTTCGTCGAGCTAGGCGCCTGGCCGAGAGGCCATGGCATTCATGTGAAAGTGAGCGTTAGATGATAAATGGTGCGTGCTCCTTTGTCATGCAAAGCTCTGGCAATAATTCCCCTGAATGCGAGGTGGCAGGGCTTGTGTTTAGGTGTGTGGGTGAGTGTGAGTGTGTGTGTGTGTTTGTGTGTGTTTAGAGCATTTGCATGCCGCTAATTGGCCTAGTTGTCTAGGCCAGTTTATCGAATCTTGGTTTCTGCTGCATTGTCGGACCGAAGAGTATCGGGAAACGGAGCTACCAGTGACCCGGCCCGGCCGCAAACAGCCGTTTCCGGCAGACAAATTACGGGTAGCTGCCGATGGGCGCAGACAGACCGCAACAGATTTTAAAACAACACACCACAAATAAGCCAGGCAGCCAGTTGAATCTGACCGGGATCAGAGCGGCGCCGCCTGCAAACAAGAGCGTTAATTTATGCACCCCTCGGTGGCAGAAATCGACGGCCGAGGAGCTAAGCAAAAAAGTCGGCAGTAGAAGGAAAATATTTTGAAATGAGTTTCGGCGCTAGTCCATCCACAGCCGTCCATCCGTCTGCCAATACTGGGAGCAGCGTCAGGACTGTGGAAAAAATAACAACTGCCATGGGAGCGTTAGCGGCAGCGTGAATGCGGCCACAGAATAAAAATATATATATAAAAAAAAATGAAAATAAATATTCACGGTGATGCAGACGACCAAAAAACAATAAATTATTTTACACTCCAACGAAAATTTTTGCATAAAAAAATAATAATACATTTCCCAACACAGGCACACACATACACTCACACACATCACTGCGCACTTTTTGCGCATATTTTCCTTTGGTTTCATTATACACGTTTTTTTTTGTTTTTGGCAAGAAATGGTGGAAAATATTTCAAATGGAAAATACACATTTTGTTGCTGGTTGAAAATTTATGCTCACAATTAAAATGCATTAATTAAATTTCGTAATTTGCCACGCCATTTAAACTTGTCTGTCTGGAACCCAAAGGGTTAACATTACTTACTTGTAGGCATACTCGAGATTATCGCCGCAGCCACCCCAGCTCCAATCGTCGTGAAGTTGTTTAGGCCGTGAGCCGCGTGAGCAGCCGCACGAGGCCAGCTGACCATCACGACAGGCGCGGGCTATAAAACTGGTCACCGTTGCCGCTGCGAGTGCGTGAACAAAAGCCATTTCGGGGGAGCCTGAAAAGATTGGAAATAATGAGCTAATTAGTGAGGGGAAGGAAAGCAACGCAATTATTTCAATTAATATTAAGCTATTCAATTTTTAGCTCAATTGATGAAATTATAAAATCAAAAACAGTATCACCTTAAACCTCGAAGAGATAAGACGTGAGACTAGCGATCTGTGCACAAGTGCTTATCTTTCTATTAAAACAACAACAACAATAACTCAAAACAAACCACTATTCAAAGTAAAATTCGCAAAGACAAAAACAACTCTACAATAGTGCAGTTAATACCTTATCTCTAAAGGGCCCCGCCCTACATATATAAAAAAAAAAAAAAAATGAATCGCCCCCCCGATTTAAGTCAACACTACGGTGTAAAAACAAACAATAAGAATAACGACGGCAAATACCTACTAATTACTAGAGATGACGACAGTAACTTTGATAATGTGAATCCATTTATAATTAAAAAAGTAATCGACCACACCTGCAATGGTGAAGTCGAGAGTTGTAAAAAAACAAGAGCTGGCTCTCTACTTATCCAAACAAAAACTTACCTACAAGCCCTAAAACTCCTTAAACTAAAAACTTTTCACAACTTTCCCGTCACAGCAAGTGAACATAAGACTCTCAACTCAACAAAGGGAGTAATTTACTCAAATGAGCTTCGTACCATCAGCGAAACCGAAATTAAAGAAGAGCTTAAGCCACAAAATGTGATCGATGTACACAAAATTTACCAAAAAGTCAACAACTCTCTTAAGGAATCCGGACTCATTACTTTGACCTTTGCTTCCCTTACTCTCCCCGAAAAAATAATGATTGGCTACGAGCAAGTCACCGTACGACCATATGTGCCACGCCCACTAAGATGCCAACAATGTCTACGATTTGGACATCCAACCAGCGCCTGCAAACAGACTTTCAAAACATGCCGCAACTGCTGTCAAGAGGAACACACTAAGGAGGACGAGACCTGCAACAGAACCAAATTCTGCATCAACTGCAAAAACGAAATTGAAAACAACCACTCACCCATGGATAAAAACTGTCCTATATTTTTGAAACAAAAAGAGTTGACAGCAATTAAAACAATTCATAAAGTAGACCACAAATCAGCTCTACAAATATATAACGCACGTCACCCACTTTCAACCACAACCTACTCCAAAATAGTAGCCAATTCTCCGAAACAGACATCTCCAGCGCAGCCGAACACCTCATCTAGCACATCGAAACCCGCACACAATACCATTAATAACCTCAGCACCACGCCTACAATCAATACCACTCACCAACCAAATCTAAAAAGAATCATCACATCTTACGCCGATATCGATATGGACACCACACCACTGATGCAAGACCAGCCTAATCACCAACACCCTCAAGACGACCCCAAGCTCCGAATTTTTCACGCTAAGCAGAATACTCTTACCAAGCCCCTAAAATCTAAAGAAAAACTTGACCCGAAACTTTTAAATTCAAAAACTTAACAACACCAGTGCTACCACAACACTATCATTTAATTTAAATACATATATATATATATATATATATATATATATATATATATATATATATATATATATGTATTTAAATATAAATATAAATATAACAACAAAATGTTGAAAGTACTCCAATGGAATCTTAATGGATACCTAAATAACTACAACCAATTGCAGCTTTTGATAAGAAAATTCTCCCCAAAAATTATATCTCTTCAAGAGACCCACCTAAATACGCTAAGAAACTTCCCTATCCCAATCAACTACCTTATATACAATATCAACTCTGCTGGCAACGCGTCAGGCGGTGTCGCTATTCTTGTACACAAATCCATTCATCATACTGAGATACACCTTCAACAAGACTTCGATTCCGTTTGCATCAAAATCCACTCTAAATTAACCTTCAATATTATATGCTCATATATCCCCCCCAATCATAAGATTACCATCAATAACCTAGAAAATGTCTTCAGCAACATAGACACTCCCACCCTTATCACCGGTGATTTCAATAGCTGGCATATGCTATGGGGATCGCCCCGTAATAATAAGAAGGGACACATCATAGCCCAATTTATACAACAATCACCGCTAATCCTACTAAACGATGGCTCTCCTACCCATTTCAGTACACATAGCACCCTGACCCATGTTGATCTCACTTTCGCCACCCCAATTCTCGCTCTTCATTCCTCATGGCACACCGAATCCGATACCTTCTGCAGTGACCACTTCCCAATTATCACATCCCTATTCGAAACCAACTCAACCCCAATAATAACTCCCAAATTCAAACTAGATAAGGCAAACTGGCCAAGATTTCAAGACGCTAGCTACCATTTTCACCACCAACGCCCTAAAAGTAAAAATCTGAACAAGGAATCAGCAAACATTCAAAAAATCATTCACCAAAGTGCGAACTGTTCCATCCCACAGTCCACTTACCAACATAATATAAAACACCAGGTCCCTTGGTGGAACAAAAACCTTCAAAAATTAAAACAATCTAAAAATTCCCTTTTTTTAACACTAAGACGAAACATATCTACTACTAACATAATTAATTATAAAAAAGCAAATGCACTATTCAAACGAGAAGTAAAAATAGCAAAACGCACATCCCTTGAATCCTTTACCGCCGAAATCAACCCCGGCTCTTCTTCCTCTAGGATTTGGAGCAACCTACGCTCTTTCTGTGGTCTAAAACCAAGTCTTTCAATCCACTGCATTACCAAATCAGATTCCCAAGTCAATATTACAGACAACTTAGCCATAGCCAATGAACTGTGTACCTTCTGGTCTGCCGAATCCAGTGATGAAAACTTCTCCAACACCTTTATTACTCTGAAAAACAGCTCCCTACTAGCCCCTCCCAAGTACCGGCCGTCCGCCTCTGCCTTAAAAATAGAGTCACCTATTTCCACTCTCGAGCTTAACATAGTTCTTTCAAAATTAAAAGGAAAATCCCCAGGCCTGGATCGTATATCTTACGCCATGCTGAAAAACCTCCATCCCTCAGTAAAGCTCCGTTTAGTGGACCACTTTAATAACATCTTCAATAGCCACATACCTCAGCACTACAAGCTGAGTAAAATAATTCCCCTAAACAAGCCACATTCCGATAAAACTTCCCTCAACTCTTACCGTCCCATATCCCTTAACTCGTGCGTTGCCAAAACCCTGGACAAAATTATCGCCAACCGGCTATGGTGGTTTGTTTCCCATAATAAATCAATTGATAGCCGTCAAACAGGTTTCAGAAAAGGAAGGTCGATTTCGGACAGTCTACTAGTTTTAGACCACTTGATTTCGTCCTCTCTATCTACAAAAAACCATGCCTCAATTATATCACTCGACTTTACCAAAGCATTTGATAAAATTGGCATCCATTCAATAATAGACGAGTTGCGTTCGTGGAAAATAGGTCCTAAAATAATCCAATACTGCGTTAACTTTATGACCAACAGAAAAATTAAAGTTTATGCCAACTACCACTTTTCCTCAACCCTTCCCCAACACAACGGCATCCCTCAGGGATCACCCCTGTCAGTTATCCTATTTATCATCGCCTTCAACAAACTTAACTCCATAATTAATAAACACAAGCAATTTAACTTTTGTGCGTACGCCGATGACTACCATATATTTAAAAAATTAAACAATAGCTCTCAAATAGACATAGACCCTTTACTCACCGACATTCTCTCCTGGTGCGAGCATTCAGGGGCCAAACTCTCGCTCTCTAAATGCAAGCACCTCCATATTTGCAAAAAGCACTCCTGCCAAATCAAACTTTCTACCACTCTTACCCCTATAGAAAATACAGACAAATTAAAAATACTAGGAATTACATTTAACAAAAGATTTAACTGGCTGGACCATATATCTAACCTAACCGCTTCAATTTCAACACAGCTTAACATTATAAAATGCATTTCCAACAATAAATACAACTGCAGCCAGCTCAGCGTTATTCACACTATTAATTCCCTAATAATGTCAAAGATAGATTTCGGTATATTTCTTTACGGAAACTCCCCTGCTTCCTATTTAAAGCCAATTAAAACAATTTACCATTCCGCAATAAGATCTGCTCTTGGTGCCTTCCGCTCCACTCCCATATACAACCTCCTCTTCGAAGCCAACATGATGCCAATAGATATCAGAACAAAATTTTCCACAGCCAAACTTATTAGACAAATTTTACTTTCAAACGGATCACCACTGAAACCAACAATAGAAAAAATACTTAAATCAAGAAAGCCAAACCCTAATATTCCATCCGCCCTACATAGAGCCCTGAAATCAGTTTTAGATCTTGGTCTACCCTTCAAACCTTTTCCCCAAGAGAGACACCCTATTCCACCCTGGAATGATGTATCTTCCGCAATAGACATCTCTCTACACCAACTACCCAAACTCATTACTCCGTTACAAGTTTACCACCAAAAATTCCTAGAGCTGAAAAATACCTACTCATCTTACTCATTCATTTATACCGACGGCTCCAAAATGAACGGTGCAGCTTCTTTTAGCATAGTAGCTAATGATTCTCACCAGCAAAACCTATTACCTTACTACAGTTCCATCTATACAGCCGAAATTATTGCCATCCACAAAGCAACACTTTTATCGCAACTCTCTCCTCATCCTACAGCTATCTGTACTGACTCCCTTTCAGCAATAAACGCCATCTCCAATTCCACCAATACTTCATATTACCCATCTGCCATAAGACAATTACTATTAAAAAACATTAAAAAATTAAAACTAATATGGATTCCTGGACACTGCGGGATAAAAGGCAACGAAGATGCAGATAAGACTGCCAAAGACGCTTTTCTCCTCCCACTCACATTTCACAATAACTTTAATATCACAGATATCCTAAAACATATAAAAAAACATTTCAAATCCGAACAAATATCTCTTTTTCATCAAACGAACTCATACTACAATTCCAACAACACAAAAGCGAATACAATATACGACTACGGTC